ATTATTATTATTATTATTATTATTATTATTATTATTAGAATTGCATTGGAAGACCTAGATATTCCTAGAGAGAACAAATTAATAAAATCAGTGAATAATCAAATCCGCAAAAGTCAAAGCTGCAAATGTGGAGGGACAATATTATATTCACAGAATAATTACAAAGGAAATTTACTTTTTTGTTACAAATTAGCTATAAGATCCTGAATTGTAGCTTTGCCAATTTATGAAGAGCAAACAAAAAACAAAATGGAAGAAACTAGAGCATTATTAAAACAAAGAAAATTATTTTGTCTCTTCTAGTCCTGTATACTGTCAAACAGACATAAAGCACCCTTTTCTATAAAGAGAAAAGAAAACCAGGACCAGTAATTGCAATTATCTGATACTGTACATTGCTGTTGTGTGCCTTCATGTCATTTCTGACTTGAAGGCAGGCAAAGGCAAACCACCTCTGAACAAATCTTGCCAGGAAAACCCTGTGATAAGGTCATCTTAGGGTTGCTTTAGAAACTACTTGAAGGCAAAAAACCACTACCACCTGAGACACTATATCACAGTCCTGTCTCATAAATAAACAGATTACCAGAAAGTCTACTACACTTCTCTGTGGTTGGTTCCACAATGCTTTGCTAACAAAGATTCATCAAGCACTGATACTATACTGTTTAGGGAACACGTTAAAAGGTGTTTGATTAAATGTTTTTTAATCAAATCATGGGTGTTTCTTTTAGCCCTCATATTTAACTGTTGTTCTTTTGTTCATGGAGTTTAACCTCTAAGGCAAAGATAGGCAATTGCCAAGGATTGGAGGACTGCACTGGGTCATGAGGGCTGCACGCTAACCTTTTGGATTCCTATCAACAAAACCAATCTGTTTCATCTTGAAAATGGCCATTAGTGCCCCTCCCTAAAGCCTCTGGGGTACTACTGCCCACTTCACTTTTTGCAGCCCCACCTCACCTGGATCAAGTTAAGATGGGCCTTACTACCAAACAGTGTGGGGAAGCCTCATCCAGACCCCTCCCAAGACAAGGTGGCTCCTTAAATGAGCAAAACAGGCAGAAAGACACCTCTCTAAAACTTGAGTGGGGGTGATAGTGGTAGACAAAACAAATTTTTGACTCCCCAGTGTGGTTTGATCTAAACAAGTTGAAAAAGGGAACTGATATGTGTCCAGGTTATTATTATTAGCATGATTGGCCAATAATCAGTCTTTGTATGTGAATACACAATACCTTTCCATAAACATGTAGCTTAGTCTACCTCCTTTAATTATATGGAATTCTTTGCTGTACAGGCACCATTAAGCAACACACTTCCTCTGGGTATATGGCATACTTACACAGTTACACTGATCAACGTACACTGATCAGTGCAAGATGATGGTGAGTGATGAATCATGACTTATAGCACAGATCTGGACCTCTTTGATACTTTCTATTTCTACAGTTATAGGAAGATCAGAACTATGGTGAAGCAAGATGAAATTTCATTTTCAACTGGATATTGACAGGAAATTCCTGATGATCTTCACAATAACAACATTTACCTTAGCAATCTGCATCCACTACATGATGAAAGATGAGGATGTCTGAAAACTGAAATCACATGTACTGTACAGATGTACAGGAGAACAGTTCTGCAGATACCATGGAAGGTTAAAAAGACAAATTAATGGATCCTAGAAGAAATCAGGCCTAGAGGCCAAGATGACTAGATGTAAAGCATTTGAGCTTGTCATCAGATTGTCACCAGTGTTACAAGCACAGAATGGCTTTACACAAAGTATGAAGCATGCAAATACTATCAGGCTGGACATAATGCTCCAAACACAATTGATGGTAAGATTTAACTCATGACAGGGCTGACAAACAATCTACCACCACTGACAAACAAGAGGCAGAAAACAAGATTCGAAACATTTTCAGCTCTTTGGGCAATGTCTGCTTGCAACAAACTGTTCATATAGGACAATGTGATTTAATAATTGCTTTATTTTCACAATTTGTTCTAAAATATGCCATGGAAACCTACTCTGAATTATTGTACAGACATCTCTCACTTAAAAACTGAATATTGAGTATGACTGCGCACAAAAATGTGAACTCAAAAAATTGTAGGCCACTATGAGAAATAGCAGCAATATGGTATATTTGAGACACTTGGAATTATAGAGCTATAGCTCAGTGGCAGAGTACATGCTTTGCACACAGAAAGTCTTGGGTTCAATTCCTGGCATCTTCAACTCAACCTGAGAAAGACTCCTATCTGGAACCTTTCAGACTCTCTCCTAGCTGTGTAAATGATACTGAGTAACATGGATCTGTGGTCTGCTTCTTATTTTTTATGAAACAAGCTTGTATAAAATCTATTTGGATTTGGACCTTGATTTTTTTTAAAGTCTGTAATATTTCCTATAAATGGGATATAGTCATCAACATATATATTGAATATACTCATCTTAATAGTGCTGCATTTAGTACTTAACTATTTGCCTATCCTCATTTTCCACATTAAAAGTCAATGACTTGCAACAGATGGCACAGAAATTTGCATTAAAACTCAGATAACCATAAGATCAAAATCCATAACATGTTGTGCAACTGAACATCATTCTGCAGGCATTTGCTGGACACTTTGGTAGTATGGTGTAGTGACAAACACATCTTACCTGTATTAAGAGAGCTCTCAAAACACTTATGAGCTAAATTCAAGGCAGTGAACAGAATAAATCTTTATTACAGTGATAGACCAGCACAAATTGCTTACCTTTACAGCTCTACATAGCACAGGACCAGGCCAATAATAGCAAAGCTTTTACAGACCGAGTGCACAAACTGCAACCCAAAACCCAGTTATTTATCGCAAAGTGCCATGTCCCTCTGGTTTTCTAAGCAACAAACTCTGTGCTGGGGTGATGGCGTGCATGCTCACAGAGGGCTCTGAGTGCCACCTTTGGCACACATGCCATAGGTTCACCACCACTGACCCAGGCACTTCATGGACCACTTTGCCCCACACCAGTTCTCCTGAACTGTGAGACAGTAATTTGAGTCAGTGGGTGCCCTTAATTTCTGAGGTAAATCGGATGGTGACCAGAGGGGCAGGTTTTTTTGGGGGGGGGTTCTTGCTTGCAGTGTCTTTGCCCTATCTAGAGGCTTGCCTAACACCTATTTTATTTTTTGAATGTCAGAGAAAGGCCTTTACATTTTCTGAAGCCTTTTCAGATACTATGTAGACCTTTTAAGTGAATATAAATTTTTAATTCACTCATTATCTGATTGACTGTGCTTTTATCTGATAAGTTTTATTTACTTTGGCTTTTTTCTTCTTCTTCTTATAGTCGGCTACACCAAACACATTTAAGTTGAATGTTAAGGGGTGAAAATATAATTTTTTTAAATAATGTTTTCATCATTCCTTTTATTAGAGCTGGGTTCAAATAAACTGCTTAAAGAGATCAAATTTTGATATTTTAAAAAAGAACTAGCAGCAGTCCTGACAGTCCAAAATATTATAAAAGTGATGACACTGTTTATAACCATACCTATTTACAATGCTTTCTTACAAAGAAATTGATCCACCAGAAACTAAAGGTAAAAAAACATGAATTTATAATGAATTCTATTTGCACAGAAGAATTCAGAAGATCAATATAGTTTTTTCAGCACAACTGGAAACATATTAGTACTTTAACCTACATAGACCTTGTCAATGGTAGATTCTGCTTTTTAACATAATTGCATTATGTTTTCAAATTATAAGCAGAGAAAAAGCTTTTCAAAACATGAGGGAAGTGGAAACTGGTTTGTCCAAAGAAAAATTCTCAAGTAGTTAGCAGCAACTATGCAAAACCAAAACACGGCTACTAAGAAATAAGAGGGAGGTATGAGCATGCTTGGAGTACTCCAATGTTTGCTGAAGAAGATTCTTCCCCTTAGGAAAGATTTAAAAATACAATCCCCTTGTCTGCCTAAGAGAATCCAAGAAGTACAGTACACATGTAATGGCTATGCCATGGTTGACTATTTGGGGAAGGAAAAAAGGAGAAGTGAAATGAGATCGCCCTGGGAAAAAACATGGATGGATGGGTGGGTGGCACCCTGAAAGAAAAAACATTATACTGAAATGCTGTGCTACAGGAGCTTAAAATTAAGGATGACAAGGTGTTGGATTTAATCCAAAGATGTGCAATAATCCCCAAAGTTTTTGCAGGGAGGGAGACACACATAGCTTTCTGGATGTTTTTGGACTGTAACTCCCAACATTTCTCACTACTGCCCATGCTGGCTAAGGCTAATGAGAGCTGCATTCTAACACCTGAAGAGCCACTTGACTCCCACCCTATGTTAGAGCTACCAGAGGATGCTGTGCCATAATCTTCAAGAGACCTTGTACTAGCATTTCATCTTTGAACATTGTACAAAATTACATGCAAGGAACTGCATGAAGCCTTGCCCAAGTAGATGCATACTACTGGATTTCAGTTCTACTTTCATGCAAAAATCCTATACTAAGTCAGCTCTTCTGAATGTGGAAGAGGTCTTTCACTTGCAGAAGGCCATCTTTGGATTTAATATGTTATCTAGAAAAGTAGAGGGGGGAAACCTCATACTAAAGTTTTCGAAATTAAAATGTTAATATTCTGAAATGTTGGGAAGTTACAGATACTTTAGTCTACATACAGAGAGTCTCTAAAGTTTGAAGTTCTAATGCCATCATTTTAGATACTGAGGTGTTTCAAAACCCTTTAAAACAGTTATAGGGGGGATGCAGACGGAGAAAAACGCCGTCTTCAATCCCAGGAAGGGGGAGGGGCAGCTGGATGCTGGGCGCCCCATCCCCTTCCTGAGGACGTCATTGTAGTGACGGCCCATCCACACAATGGGCGCTCCGATGACGTCCTTCCGGCTCAGTATCCAGACACGCTGAGCCAGAAGAGACGCCAAAGAGGCATGCCACGCCTCTTGCGGCGCCCCTTTCGTGGCTTGCGAAAGGGAGGATTGGGGCCGAGGTGTCCGGCAGCCTCGGCCTCGATTCTCCGCTTCCAGGGGCAGCCCAGGGCCGCTCGTCTGCTTTCCCCCATAGTCTCAAGCCTATTCTGAACTACATGTTTTGTATAATCTACTACAAATAATCTACTTTGAGATTATATTTAAAACAAAAGTCTTACCTGGCCATTTGATCACATTAGTTTAAAGGACCTTTTAAATCAAGTGTATTTTCATTGAATCTCTCAAACATATAACAAGGTCAAAATATCAAAAGGAATGTTTTTTAAAAAAATTAGAGGGAAATACTTATAGAAAACAAGGGGTTTGATATGAATACATAATTAGGATAAGGATCAACAAATTGCCTTCTGAAATTTGCCTTCATTTTAAAATGAAAGTTGATGCTGTAATAATTTGAAAATCTCACTGTAAACTAATCTTCTTTATTCCAACAGGTTATCTACTGATTTCCCCTGGCCATTTCATGCCAGCCACTGTTAACTAAATCTAATAAGAAAATCTGAAGAATGGGATGATATAAAAGGACTGGACATCATTATTAATTAAGAATAATCTATGAAGAATACCTCTATCTGACTAAGAAAAAATAAATAAAGCCACAACAGGATCCAGCACCTAAAATGTTATCTGAAATGTATTACTTATAACATCGTCATAATTTTTATTTAAATAATAAGATTATTTATTATTTATAATAAGATGCAACGGTCTGAAATAATGCCAACTTCTCCCAGTGTTGGAGGAACCCCCCCCCCCGGTGTTTTCAATGGACATTATTGAAAAATGTCTTATGAAATATTTCCACTTTTGAAATGAGTTGGAAAGCTATTTAAGACAAGGTTAAACCCACTCAAAAATGTACAAAATATGTATAGTGTGCATGCAAGACAGTATATAGCATTAGAGAATGGTAACAGACTAAGAACTTTTTCAGTGATGGTATAAAATTTAACTCAACGTTGAAATAAATATTAGAACTATGGGATTATTTCTGGCTAAATATACATTTTATTGTTTACTACAATATTTAGGGTTTCTATTTTCATTTTTTTTCTTCCTACTTACCAGATACAAGACAGTACAGAGTGTAGGAGCTTGCCACTCTCTTTGATACTGGATATACTAGCTTTTTTAATTATACAAAACAAGGGCATTTGCAGTTTTTGGGACTGCAATCCTATGCACACTTACCTGAAAATAAGGTCCAGTAAAGAAGGTGAGTCTCACTTCTAAGTACATACATATAGGGCTCTCTAACACAAGCTGCTTGGGAAGGTTTTCCACCCTAAAAGACATTCTAAACTGGAGATGAACCCAAGAATGCTGCCCCAAGCTCTTTTTGTACTCTCTCCCAGTGCTCACAGTATTCAGCAGGACTTTAAAAAAATCCATTATCATGGTTTGCTCCCAAAGTTTGATAGTTCTATAGCCAACAGGAAAATGCACTCAAGTTGCTGTTGTTGTTGTATGCCTTCAAGTCATTTCCAGCTTACGGTAACCCTAAGGCAAACCTATGTCAAGGTTTTCTGAGGCTGACAGTGTATGATTTGCCCAAGGTTACCCAGTGGGTGTCCAAGCCCAAGGGGAGAATTGGACCCTAATCTTTGGAGTCATAGTCTAACACTCAAACAAACCACCACAGGACACTGGCCTTTCAGAAAAAAGGGCACCCTCCATATTTCGCTCAGAATAGCCCAGTGAAGACTGAATATAGTTATGAGCACAGAAGCTTGACTAACTAACTAGGATGGAGGTGGACTGAAGATTTCTGGACTTCACACTGAAAGCCTATGTTGCAGAGCTAATTTATAGTATGTACAGCCCAAGGTTTCACTTGCAATGTAACAAGGATTAAAGAAAGTCTGTATTAGAAGCACCAAGTTCTACTTGACCAAGCACTCTGGGCTCAAAAGAGCACTTGAAATCCAATTTCCAACTCTTAGTATATTTTAAAAGTAACATTTTCATATTGAAAGTTGTCAGAAGTTGTATTTATTGTTTACTATTGTATAAATAAGGCTGTTTTCTTGGTAAGTAAATCAAAGCAAATTACCTAGTGTTCATTTTATGTGTTTGAAAACCTAAATATGGATCAAGAACCAAACTAGTTGCTAGGTCATCGTTCTCACACAGCTCCTTGGCAGACATTCCAGAAGAAGGCACGTAGCGACTTTGGCCCTCAAATCCCGAACCACCACTACCTGTATAAATCAAAAGAAATGTCAGTAT